GTAGTAGTAGCAGCAGCATTCTGTTCTTATCTAGTCAGACTTCACCTGGGATAATATGTCCAGCTCTATTGCAGTGTGTCCAGTGCAATAAAGATAGTCATAGATCTGGAAACCAAGACCTATGAGGAATGGTTGAAGGAGATATGTTCGGCTTGAGAGTGAGAAAACTGGGTGGTGGTATGGTAGAATTCTTTAAATATTTGAAGAACTGTCGTCATGGAAGATAGAGAAGACTTATTTTCTGTGGCTCCAGAGAGTAGGGTTTGCACCAGTGATTTCAAACTTCAAGAAAGAGGATTCCTAACAAACATTAAGAAGAGATTTGTAATGGGAAGAACTGATGATTGACAGTGGGATAGACTATGTCAGAAGCTGGGAGACTTTTTCCTTCATTGGAGGTTTTTAACCGATAATTGATGACCTGCTGTCAATGATGTTTTAGTAGTGGATTCCTGCATTGCTGCAGATTATACTAGAGGACGATTGAGGCCTCTTCCATCTATGCTCCTCAGGGAATCTATGATATTGTATATTTTGAAACAAAATAAAGCAAACATGTAAATGTTTTAATAGTTTTCCCTTTATCATCCATGGAATTAAGCAAAACTTTATAAATAATGCTTTAACACAAAAAAAATCAACTGTAAGAAAGAATGATGGTGGCTGCTTTATTGCATGGACTTTGAAGGATATGAATCACTGGAGTATTTGTTTATATATTTTTTAAAACTCGGCTAATCATCCCCGCCCCGTGTGCATACTTTGCATCTCAAAAGAAAGGACATTAGTTTTGCACAGAGAGAAACAGTTTGCACAAATTATAGGAACCTTGACAAGAAGAAAATCATGTTTCACATTTCACTTTCACCTAGAGGCAAATCATCTTGTGGAATTTGAAAATCCCATATCAAGATGTGTTGTTAAGAACATAAGAATGTAAGAAGAGCCCTGCTGGATCAGGCCAAGGGCCCATCTATTCCAGCTTCCTGTATGTCACAGTGGCCCCACCAGATTGCCTCTGGGAGCTCATGAGACAATAAGATACCTGTCTCCTGATACCCCTCCCCTAAACAATTAGATACCTGTCTCCTGATACCCCTCTCCAGCATCTGGCTTTGGAGGTACCTTCCTTCTAAGCCTGGAGATTGTATATCCCCATCATGGCTTGTAACCTGTGATGGACCTTTACTCCAGAAATCTGTCAAATCCCCTTTCAAAGACATCTAGGCCAGATGCCATCAAATCCTCTTTCAAAGACATCTAGGCCAGATGCCATCCCCACATCCTGTGGCAAGGGGTTCCACAGACTAACAACATGCTGGGTAAAGACATATTTTCTTTTGTCTGTTTTCACTCTCCCAACACTCAATTGGAGTGGATGTCCCCTGGTATTGTGTGAGAGGGAAAAGAGCTTCCCTCTATCCACTTTATCCATCCCCTACATCTCAGTCACGTTCCCCCCAAGCACCATTTCTCTAAAGAGCCTTTCCTCATAAGGGAGGTGCCCCAGCCCAGTCATCATTTTAGTAGCTCTCTTGTGCACCCTTTCCAGTTCCACAATGTTTTTTTTTTTGAGGTGCAGTAACCAAAACTGTACACAATACTCCAGGTGCACCCTTACCACCTCCACCTGGTTGTTGAGCAGAGACAGCAAAAACTGAAAGCAACCAGGAATTTAGCAATAATTCTTCATGTCCTTGCACTACTGTTTCTCTGAGTGGTTTACAAATAAAGCATTATAAACAACATTAAAAGAATAAAAATGGGAAAACAGAAATAAAAATGAGATCAAAACAAAAAGTTTCTGAAGGCATTACTATATCTTGTTCTTGAAAGTTTGCTATCCAAGTGCATGTCCATGCCTTGGTAAGCAAAGAATTTTTTGGTCAAGCTGCTGCAAAAGAGAAGGTCCTGCTCCTATTAGAAATCAACTTTATTTTTGGTTAAAATAATAGTGGAATAGTTTCACAGCTGTTGTTTCTTATGGAGTATTTGATGGAGCTATTGAGAGTTTGTGAGGTTGGCTGGCCATCACCATTTGGGACTCAGAGCGCTTATTTCAAAAGATCATGTTGTGATGTATAGCCAAACTTTTAAAATGTCTTTTTAAAAGTTTCAATTGTAATGGTTCAGAAACTAGAATTGGAAAATAAGATGCAAGCCCAAGCATTTTGCAACACTTAAAACAAAATGCAGACCAACTATGCAAAGCACCCATGTGTTGTTGATAGCCTACATTCTAGAATGCATGCACCCGGTATTTAAACTATTTGTGCACTTCTTTTTGTGGAAGGATTCCAGAATGATTTTCCTCCTTTTATCTATATATTTGGGATTGACAAAGAAGAAATATTTCTGAAAGCATACTGAGAAAAGTACCTTTCATAGCCATTATTGCTTCATCATTAACTGGATCCACAGAGGAACAAGGAGAAGAAGTATTGAGTAAATAACATTGACAGTTTGGGGCTTGTGAGGATCACTCTGATGACTTTCCCAGCCCCTTGGCTCCTAGCTTTAAAACTCTTGAGTGCCCTCTGGGAGGTTGATTGCCACTTAGTCTAGTGCCATCTGTACATCTTTGACTCTTCCTCCTTTTCCACCCTCTGGGCTACTTTTTATGTATTATTCCACTTGGCATGTAAATAGATCTAATTGGCCATGAGGATGCCAAATGCTTTGATAAAGGGAAACCGGTTTAGTTTACGGGGCGGCAGAATCAATAGCACAGCTTTGAGGAGAGACTGACAAACACACAAGTGCTTCAAGTATAAGTCATCCTCTTCTGCCCTGTGTTCCACTCATGCTCTTGGCATGCCACAGCAGTCTACTTTACATGAGTGCAGTTTGATGGGCTTACAGAGTTCCCAGTCTGGTGGGAATTTACACAACAGCAAGTTCTTTTGGACCTATATCGTTGATTTTTTATTTTTTGCTCTGAAAGATAAGAATGAAAAATGACAGTAGCTTTTTTCTCTCAACCGGGCACGATTATGAGAGTTTTTGTGTGGTTTTCACATTTTGGACTTTTCTGAGAAAAATGTACAAAAATGTTTCTTGTATGAAAATACTGGATTTTGCATGAAACTATTTGCATTTTGCACAAACACCTTTAAAAAAAACTCTGTGTTTTGTGGAAAATATAAGGTTTTTGTGAAAAAAGTATCTCTCTCTCTCTCTCTCTCTCTCTCTCTCTCTCTCTGTGTAGACTACTTTATTTGCTAATGATGCTCCTGAACAAGAGAATGGTACTGTATTTTCATACGCATGCAGGAGCAAAAAATCTTGCAGCACTTGCCATTGCTTTTGATTGGCTATCTCACTGTTTTGATAACCAATCAAAGGCAAGAAATATGAATGTTTTGTTATACCTTTGCCCCCTTCTTTTACAGTCAGTTATACTGAATGAAGAGGAGGTTGATGAGCACCAGACCAAAATAAACCTAACGGTACACAGTGGAAGATACAACAATTTCACAATATATGTTGTTAATTTTTAAAGGTTGCGTGTTTCAGGTCCCAATGTTTCTCCATTGTTGTACAAAACTGTTGATGGAAACACAACTGGTTTATTCATATTACTGAAAAGGGAACAACCTCCAAGTCTTATGTATAATATTAAACAATTAATCACATAAACACAACATTGGGACCTGAAACATGAAATCATGTGACCAGATTTGGTGCTGAAATTTGGCAGTATAGTGGTAGTCTTGGCAAAAAAAGCCACATTTTTCTTCTGGAATTTTAGGAGTGTAATTCTGCTTTAAAACAAGACATACTTTCCTTGTGTAGGAACGGCAGCTTTAATTCCTGCCAGGTCGGCAAATTTCAACAGTGATTTTGACAGTGACGAGATCTTGGAAACAGTTTACTTAAAATTACGACAGTGATTTTGACAGTGATGAGATCTTGGAAACAGTTTACTTAAAATTAATGTGCTTTGATTTTAAGAAGGAAAGGTCATCCACACATATATGCACAGTAGGTTCAGGAGGACTAATGGATTGTTTACAAAGAGGCAAAGAACCCACAAGAAACACATAAGGTTTGCTTAAGGTTTTTAAATGTATGAAATAAAATAGTACCTCTCATAATTCTGTGCATAATACTGTGGTACTCCCTGGCAGTGTGGGGAGAAAAAAATGCAATTCTGTGTAAGCAAAGTTTTACATCCTTATTCCACATCACCTGGAGTTTGGCTTCATAGCCTTTCCAGAGTTCAAGAGACAACTTTGTGGATGAAATGGGGGCTGCAGTGGGGGAAAGGAAAAAAGGTTTTCTCCTTAACAGTTTGACTGCATTTCTTCATCTTGCCTTGGCCTCCTGCCCCAAGTTCTTTGCAGAAAGCTGGAGTGCAGCATCATGCCATTAGTGGACATAAACTACATAGCTTAAGGCCACAACCTTGCTTGCCTTGTGCAGAGAGGAAAAACGGTGAAAACTTATTTTGTGTTGATGATGTGTTGCCAAAGTTATCATGGGAAAATAAAAAGTAACTACAACTAATGCCTTAAAATTGAGTTCCAATTTAGTTGTCATAGGAAACTGCAGCTTAGAATCTTTTCCTTCCATTAATTTGTCTAAACCATTTTAAAGACATCAGTGCAAGTTGCTATCCTCACATTTTGTGGTAGCAAATGTCATAATTGTAGTGACACTGAAGTGGTCTAGTGATGTTGTAACATCAGATATTTTACCAAAATCGTATATAACAGGGGAGTGGGGGCAGCACAGTGAGGGAGAAACAAAAGTTCTGTGTGGATCTGAGTAGACATGAAGAGACACCTGTCCATCTTCCATACAATGGGCAGAATGAGAGGAACAGGGGAGAGCAATCTTAAGAAATGAGAACATCAAGTTCCTTCAGTCATAATTATGCTTAATTTTTAAAACAGATATTATGGGTGGGGATTTAATCTAATCTTTTAAACGGCTATCATATAGCTGTCCTTGGCATACTGATTCCTAATGAATGATTTGGTTTGTTTTCCTTGCAGGAAATCAGCGACAATGAAATTTTGGAACTGGTACACAGTGCTCTTGGGAGAATGACCGTCATACGGCAGATCTTCCCTCTGTCGAGAGAAAACAACCCCAGATGCATGAGGAACAACCACCGGATCTCTTCACTTCTCTGTGACCCACAAGAGGGTTATCTTCAAATGCTGCAGGTCAGTAATCTGCCTGAGAGACAAGAGAATCCATTCCAGTTCCTTCCCCTGAGAGGATAGCAAGCAAGACCTGTGGTTTTACCATTGAAGTGTCAGAGAAGTACTGGAATGAGAGGGAAAATGCCAATGGAAATAGTGAAATCTCAATGTGCTCCTTTTGCAAAATGTAGCTCCCGGCTGAGGAAATTATCTGAACATCCTTATCCTTAGTTTTCAGCTTGCTTTATATCTAATATTCTGGGCCGATATTAACATCAGCCTGTTGCATTCATTCCTGTGAAAGCCTATTAGGAAACAATTTTGTGTAAAAAAGATGTTTTGTTATTTTGGCAGATATTGTTAAGCGATTTTATAGGCACACATTTATTGACTAGAGAAGCTGAACATAGAGATTTTAACAAGGGCTGCGTTGAAAGGACATACCTGGTAGCATGTTTCTTTCTCTCTTTTTTGGGATTGTTGAAAACTCAGTCTCATTTTTATGTATTACATTTTCAGAGTATCCAATAAACAACATTCTCTTCCCAAAATAGAGGTAAAACTATAAACTATAAAACATACTATGAATAAAACCTTCTTCCAAAAAAAGGGGCTAAACAGCTTGGGGGGATAAAAAAAGACTTTACCTCATGCTGAAGAGAACACAGTGAGGTACTGGAGAGCTGTTATTTCCGTAGTAACAGTCCACCGTGCTTTATATAGTGGAGGGATGGAGGAAGGCCTCTACAAATGGTCTCAGGAAGAATTGTTGAAGAGTTTTGAATGTTGGCTAAAAGCTTCTATTTATTTTATTATTTATTTTATTCATTACATTTATATCCCCATTTAGTGTCTCAGCACTACTCTGGGTGGCTTATAACATTTAAAAACAAAACCACAGCTACCCATCCCCACCTTGTGAATGGGGTAGTGCATAGTGAGATCCAGAAAGGTATTAAACCACAAATATCCAAAGAAAAAGAAACCTGGATGGCAAATCAAAACAATAACTACTACATGGAACCTTGAAGATGTCACAGGTGTAAGATGTTTCTGAAGGGCTCGTCAAACAATGCAGTTTTCACTTCTAGCTGTGCAGGACAAATGCAAGGACTTATACAGCAGAATTAACTAGTGGTCTCCCCAAAGTCTCCCATTATTTCCTCATCAGCTGACACGTACAGTCTCAACAATTCATTCTGAGATATGGTAAGAGAAAGAATAAAATATTTTATTTACTCACAGTTGAATAGATCAGAACAGCAACCGACCTCAACAGATTCATAGCATGCTTCTAGCAGACTACATTTTAACTGAACAGCACTAGCTGCTAACTGCCAGCAGAAGAAAAGAAATGAGGCAAAAAGGAACTTAAGCAGAGAAGTGTGGCTCTCTCTAAAATCAGAGGCAGGGAAGAGTCAATTGGCTACTGCTGGATTGACTGACAGTCACTTTGATTATATAATGGTATGTTAGTAAAGTTAAGAGAAAATGAAAAGTAACTACCACTAATGCTTTTAAAATAGAGGCTCAAACTAGATGTCATAGGAAATAATGTCTAAGAGTCTTCTCTTGCTATTAGTTGACATCTGATGTAGGTAAACATAAGATGTCTGTGTAGATCACGCAGCACTGGTGTATACTGATGACAGTGAAGTGTTACCTCTCTCCAGATTTGGAACATTTCATTGAAATTAGTTCATGTCCTCTCATTCATTAATTTTCTCAACATATATTATTTAACCTACTCAAATCAATATTTTTATTGGATATTTTGGGGGCTAGTTTGGGAGTTGATGGCCGTTTTTGGACATTCATAGTAATTTGAAAGCTTCTGTTTTATGTAAACTAACAATTTTATCAATGATCAAGGGGACAGAATAAGGTTACCCATTGCTCCTAACTTTCTGACGTTCTCATATCACATTTTCTTCACATATCTAGTCTTGAAGCCTTCGTGCTAATGGTAGCTTCATAAGCTCTCCTCCCTTTCTGTCTGGACTTTGGCAGAGTCTGCTAGAGGTTATCAGGTGACCAAAACTACATGTGGCCCGGAGCCATAGATGGCCCCATTCTGTCTGTTAGTACTTAGAATATTGACTGGCAAAGTGTTCTCTGTGTTCTTTGCTGTTAAAAATGGATTTTATTTTGTGAATAAAATAAAGCATTAAAATGTAAAGAAGCAGTGCCTGCTCACAGTTCTTATTTGGTGTTGCCATGTTCCTTTTTTAAAGTGAGTTTATAGTAAGCAAGCAAATTTTTACTAGCTTTTTTAGGGTAATATTTATGGGTGCAGATAAATCTAACATCTTTGAATATAGGCTAATAAAGTAAAATGTTTGGGTCACAGAACGTTAACTTTAATCTTAAAGGATTAACAAAATTCCTTTCGGAACTCCCTGGTTCTAAATATTTTCATGAGCAGCACACGCTCACACATAGTTTTTCTTTATGGGTGACAGGTCTTGTAAAGCTTAGTCTGACAAGCCCCCTAAAACTATTTGTAAAGCTCCTAAATCTTCTGTGCTTTGAATGTGCAAGTTGTACATGATTCTTTTAGTCCCTCTTCAGTACTGCCACTCTGGCCAGCAAAGTGTCTCTTTATAAATATGAATGTCTTCTATTCCAGAAGGCTGAGGTTAATTCTAAAAATGAGGCGTACTGCATGATGGTTAGGGGAAGGGAGTAGAGGCAATTTGCAACAATCTGATTGGTGGCAATATGTCTGGAATATCATACTGAAAATTGCCAGGTCAAAAGTGGTGAGGGATTTTTTGATGCCTGGCTCTAAAAACCCTAATAGTGTGGCTCCCTGAGTCACAGCTGTTTTCAGGAAATACTCTCACTTAATTTAATTTTTAAATCATATATTGTTTAATTTATCTTTTAATATTTAACTTAATGTGTTTTTAAATTGTGTGAATGTTAGTGTTGTGAGCCGGTTTTGCTCCCCAGTTGGGAGAAATGCTGCATATAAATAAATAAAACTAATTAACTAACTTTGAATGCAGAAGAGGAAACAGAGCTGAAGAACTGTTTCCCCTCCCTGATGCTGTTAGACTACAACTCCCATAATCCCTCACTGTTGGTAATGGTGGTTTAATCCAAATGAATATGAAAAATATTGAATATTAACAATGATTAAAAATTGAACAGATGGTTAATAACAGTTCAAAGCATTGACTTTGATTAACCCCCATGACTTGGATATTGTTATTCACATGATCATCATCCTGGTGAGCATGGAAAGATTCATAATGCCGCGACTTAGGCCGTAGAATGGTTAGATAGGGGATGCAACTCTGCTTACATTTCACAATGCCATTTTGCAGTAGTCACATACTCAGTATAGCTGCAGCTTTATTCCCCTGGGATGTTTTGATGCTAACTTCTAACTACTGCTGAAGATGATAATCTTGTACAGTTGTTCTCCTGGGGAGAAGTGGTAATACAGTATACTATTGTCAGTGCAGATCTCCAAAATTATTTCCTCTCTGTTATTACTTGTGGTGTATGATGCAGATCATCCATTACTTCCAGTAATCATATATTTACTGGCTAAGGTGTAGGCTTTCTGATATTACTGAAAAATAATTTCACAGCTCTGTGCCTCTGGTTCCATTTTTCTCTGTTATATTATTTCTGTTCCCGGTTGTTGTTTTGTTTTTGTTGTTTTGTTTTTTATGTATACAGGATCTAATTTGCCTCCACTCAGTTCACTGTCTTGAGCTTCTGTATTTAAAACAGCGGCTGGTAAGATTTGAGGCATCTGAAATTACTTAGTCTTAAATTGAAAATCATATAGAAAACATGCATAATACACTAAGACATGTATTGTCAGTTGTTAAGTTCATGGTTCAAACACTACCCTGAGTATGAAATCATTGAATATCATTTTAAGGAAGTTAGTGTCACTCTCTAGTACCCTGTTTGCCTAATTCTGTAAAATGGGAGTAATCCTGTGGTCTGCCTTGCATGATCATTGTAAAGGGTATCATGAGATGGGGAGGGGGAGTTATAGCATTTTGTGCTTCTTGCAGGCCACCAATCCCGACCATAAGCCTTGTATTGTTGTGCACACATTAAACCATGTGAGGATCTACAGACCCCCCAGGAACTAGGTGGTTGTCACACACACACACACACACAGTTCCCCTGTTTGTTCTTCTACACACCCAGGTTCCCTTTCAGGCATGGCATTTAATTTTCACTCTTTTCCGCTGCCACCAGTGGATTTCTTTTATCAACAATGTAAATTATTTCACTCCAACACAGGCTACCAATCATTGAAAGTTTTTATTAAAGTTACAGATGTTCTTTATTTATTTACTCAGAATCACAATCATTGAAATGTCTTCTTTTGTTT